GAGTACCTGATCCCCAACATACCTACCAAACATATTGCACCTTTTATGCCGCTGCCAGTCGCAAGTCTAGTTATAGGAAGTCCAGCGTAAACAAGCTTGCAAATGATAAAAATTCGCAGTATAACTCAGTTTTCTAATTTATTTCGAATATTCTTTAATATAATGTGGGTATTAGTTCATGTCTGACTCTCTTTTTAACGAAATTTTTACAACTGACTAAATAAAATGATGCGACCTCAAAACGGTTCTGCGAGCGCTCCGCAGCCCCACTACCATCGTGGTCACAGCATTGCCACACCACGCTACTTGCTCAGTACTACCCGTTCATGTAGGTACATATTATAAGCAAATATATCGGCTACCTCTTATCTATTAACTTATACAGTCTACATATCGAAGTTATTTATTTTTTAAGAATTTCACCAGTATACGTGGAGTTTAATACACAACGCGAAGTAAAAGTATTCATTACTATATCTTCCCGTGGGTGTCGTAAGAGGCGATAGAATGGAACGAAACGGCAGGAGTCTTTTCCTTTTAAATATATAAAATAATTAAGAATTACGATTACCAACCCGCATGTCAAGCATTGCAACTATGGCAAACAACTCCCAATACGAATATCTGGGGTAATTCTAAATTCAGCAGTGGACTTTTAATATGTTGTAATGATGGTCAGGAATTAAAATTTGACCAAAGAATCTTTTTTTACATAACAGCAGTATAAATTCATCATCATCATTATTTTATGATGACACATTTTACGATCTCTTACCCGCAGATTTTTTTTCATTTGATTTACGTTTACAGCTTTCTGCGTCTTGTAATTAATTTTTATCAGTAACCTTGTTTGTAATATAATATTTTGTATTGTATAGCACTAAAGTAAAAGTTACACAATCAAATTTTTTAATGTTCATTAATGTAAAGCCACCTCGTTCCGCGGTATTTTTACTAAAACTCAAAAGGAGATCGAAAATTAAGCATTTATTGTACTCTTTTGAAGATACGGCCATTTTATCTGAACCATATTTGTTTCTACTCTTGAAATAAACGAGAGGTTTGGCTATTAGATCTTGATTCGTATTCTAAATTAATTAAACTTCGATGTAGAAATCCTTATTCTGATGTATTTGGTTCCTAATTGCGAGTGTTTTTTTTTATAGAATAAGAGTGACAAACAAGCACACAGTTCGCCTGGTAGTAAGTGGATGCTGTAGCCCATAGATATCTATATTTATCCTCGATTAAGAATTAAAACGCAGATGCGCTGTCACCCCTGCGGAAATCCTTTAAGCCTTCTATGGCTTCTATCCATATTTCTTATATTTAGATCCCCAGGTATATGGCTAATGTAAATAAAAATATATCTTATCTTGTCTGAAAAAAACAGTCTTAAGTAATAATACGTAACCAGAAAATTGAATCTAAAAACATTATTCAAAATTTTCAATGATACCTATAGAGGAAACAAAATTAAAATTTTATTAAAAATGTTGTAACAATTGAATAAAACTATTATTTACGGATTTTATTGCGTTTAATTACAACTTTAATTTATTTTTATTATCCCGAAATCGATCGGAACATAAGTCCCCCCCCGTGACCATCGGTTCTGTAAAGCACCCGAAACGTCGGGAAAATAAAAATAAAGTTGTAATTAAATGCGATAAGATCCGTAAATAATAGTTTTATTGAATGTGTAGTTTTAAACGCGTAAACTTAAGAAATCATTATTGTTATAACAATTTATTCGTAGTTCATTTAATTACTATTTTTCACCGTATTTTATCGCATCTATTTTATCTATTTAGCTTGTCATTACACCAAGTAACATTTTAAAAGTGATAATATTTCCCGGTTAACCGGTATCAGCAAAATTTTATTACATCCCCAGTACTTTTGTTTTTACAAATCAATATTTCTTTATTTTTGTTTCTTATATTCGCAAAATATAAATAGTTTAGACTTACTGGTCAAAGGATAAGAATATACCATTTTTATTCAAATTCCACATCCGGCTGTTTTTATGACAGGTAATTATCGCACAAATTGGCTCTTTTAAAATAAATTGCACCCAGCAAAGTTTGACACAAAAATGGGGCAATGACTATGATGTCAAAAGAGATGTGTTGATATTTATAGGTGCCAATTGACATGTTCCCACACCCCCGTTCTATTGTGTATGTTTATAGTATTCTATGTGTAGGCCAAATCTGAAAACAGAAAACGTTAAAGAACATTTTTGGCAACTGGAATAGAAAGAATTCTTAATCATCACGATGTTAAAACCAACCATAGAAGTATTACTGAATGCATACTGAAGCCCTTTCTAAGAATATGTTGGTCTAAAATGAAAGAACACATTGCTAAATTTATAGGCAAATGTTCTATACATGGACGGGGTAAATATGATAGGAATCCCATTCAACAAACAGTTTAATGTAGCCAGCCACAAAACCTTTCGAAACAATTCACCAAGATTTATTCACAATTCAGAACGAAAAAGTAATTATCGTTTATGCACCTGTTTATGGATATTTTTTCTAAATACAGTCATATCAACTGAGACATGTTACAATGGTTAGCATAATTTTAGCTTTATTACAGTTATACACCACAATATCCCATTCACTATATTGAAAGATAACGGGACCGTGTTTACTAACTAGTTATTTTCCGAATATATATAAATAGAAAGAAAATAAATCCTTATAGAATTTAACACGCGCTGAACCATAACGGAAATACAGAGCATTTTCATTTGACTTTACTGTAGCACATTTGCACATTAAAACTACAAAAAGGACGAAGAGATGGTTAATTATACGCCGTACGCATTTATTGCCTACAACAGTTCAATAGATGGTTATGATAGATGCAAGAGCTTTGATTTATTAAGAGGATACTGATCCTAGGGATCCCATTGACATAGACTCCTTTCCACATATTAGCAGTATCTTATAAATCATAAAGAGCAGACAAAAACCATTTACAATCCTTCCAACAAGACATCTTTAGCAAATAGAACGGCCTATACAGAAAAAAAATAGTTCTCAAAAGCCAGGAATAGAGTACTTTCCAAAACAACAGGTCTTTATAAAAAAAAACAATGGCTAATAGACAGAAAACTGCCGTTAGTTATACCCAGGACAAGGTTTTAGCAGATTTACCCATACATGTTTAAACCTCCAAAAAGCGTAGTACCGTAGGAAAATCTAGATTGAAACGTATTCCCAAGCATACTAAACTGCTACAGAATTCTGCTATTAATCGTTAAGATGACCTCAGCAAAGGAGATAAGACTTGAGAGTTTAGGCAACGGACTTGGACTTTTACCATTCAAACAAGGGCTTACTAAATTCATTACACATTACCATACTTTCCTACAACGCATCGAATTCTGTGATATCGAATATAAAATCTCACAACTTCAGACTTACGAGATACAACTTCCTAACGATAACTTTATTTTATATGATTCGCAAATTATTTAATTGAGCCTTATATCAGTTATATAGTATAGGACCCAGCAGAAATAAACGAGGTGCTTTAAACGGATTATACTCTTTAGTAAAAAGTATTTCCGGTAACTTTCAACATTCAAACGCAATTATATACAAATACGCAATTAACAGACTTTATAATAATGAAAAAAAATTTCACTTGAGTTAAATAATCATATTAGTTATACTAAATAATGAATGAAAAAAAACTTTGACATCATCTGAAAAAAGCTGAAAATCAGCAATTAACAGTACACTTAATTTCTTACTTGATTAAAATAGCATAATCAGAGTCCAATAAAGTTTGCAAAGTTTGTTCAGTTATTGGTTATAATTAGTGAAAATGTAGATTACTTATTAAATGAGTTTATAAACTTAGAAAATAAGTAAGCATTTTTACATGTATCTAGCACACATAACTATTAAGTAGTATGATATAAAGGTTAAGAAAAATATTTAGTAGAGATGCCATCTTAGAATTAGAGATATGGGAATACTACGATCTTACACACGAAATACTTCTAATGAACCAATAATAGTATGATCATCTAGTTTATAGTATGAGTAAGTAGCCTGAAGTAAATAGCTTAAGCAAAAACTTTTGCATTTGTTACAGACTATTTGATTTAAAGTGTACAAAATCGCTGATACAAGTACGAGTAACAAGTCTGTACCATATTTTACATTCATTAATTAAAATTGTTAACCTAGGGAGTTTGGTGCAAACAGTAGGGTCTTATTTGTTTGTTTAGGGAGCAATTTATCAACGTCAACTGAACACATGCCTAATTAAACACGTTTTGTGATAAAATAAGATTTATTAAACACATTTTAGATGAAGATGCCCGAAGACAGTTCATGAGACTCTATTTTACTTTAGTAAGTAGTAGTAGAAAGAAATAGATAACATGAATTCCAGAAGACGCTTTCTTAAAAGTCCTAAATTATTCACATTACATCATAAAGAAATATCTCACTTTATAAAATTTTCTCAGACAAAATACTCACTAGTAAAACTTGTAGATAGAATTCAAATTGTTAAAACCGATTCAATACCATCGATTGGCTACATATATATATATATATATATATATATATATATATATATATATATATATATATATATATATATATATATCGTCGGTCGAAAACAGTAGTGGAACATCTCTGAAAATTTGGTTTTTAACTTTTTAAGAGTGTTACATTACTATTTCAGTGCCAATTCTATATCAGTATCGGAATAAGTCAAACTCCACATAGAAGTCGATTAAAAATGAAAGTTCCACTTCTACTCTGCGCATATAGCATTATTCAGTATTGGGACACTTCGAAATGTTCCAATACGGTTCCAATCTCAAAATCAAAAGTTGAATTAAATTTATTCCATCACGCTTCTCGATCTCGCTCGAGTCTCGCGCGCGTTTGTTTAGTTAGGCGCTGCATGCATGCTGTGCTTGGTAGACCGTATTGTCAAAAGTAATACAATCTGCAAAAATGTCTGTGTCTAAGTTATATGAAAGATCAATGAAAATGTTGCAAATGGTAATCCATGAAGACGCCAATATTGAAAACAAAGGTGTGTATTCTATTTGTAAAGTTTGTGTATTTTGTAAAGAGTCGTTACTTTTAAAATTTTGCACGCTTTGGCTATATTTTTAACCACTTTTATTCTACAGAAAGTGAGATAAAGCAAGTTGAAGAGTATTCTTTGCCTCAAAATGTACAAAGTCTAGGTAAATAATTATTAACTTTTGTGTTTTATATCTAATAAATGTTATTAAACATTCTGTCCTATTAACTGCTTTTATTGCTTTTAAGATGCTGAACAGACATTGAACATAGAAAAATCTCCAGACACTATTTTTATATCTAATAATAATGAAGTTGGTGAAATACAGCAATATGTTGAAGAAAATTCTTGGCCCCTGAATGAAGTACATAATCGAAATACGTACCTATCTTCATGTATTTAAGTACATAATAGAGGTACCTACGTACCTATATGCATATATTATTTTTGTGTTTTGGTATAGTGTGTATATTTAACTGTTTGAATTTCTTTTAAGGTGTAGAGCAGGCAATAAATGTGGAAAGTTGTACAGACGATAGGTTCGTAGCCAGCCAGCATGAGCCAGCAAATGAAGTTTCTAATCTAAGTATGACTTTTTATACTATTTTAATAAACTAGCTTGCTGCCCATCAACGTGTATTTCATAGTTCTAAATTATTTATGCAATAGCTTTTTACGAGGTCTTTGTTTGCTTAGGTGGCGAGCTTATTGAAATTTTAGGGGGAGGAGAAGATAAAGAAAATAATATATTAATTAACAGATAGCCGTCACCATCAACCCCGCTTTCTAAAAATAATGCTTCGGAAGAAAAAAGAAGTTGACAAGAAAGAGAACGAAATCCCGAGGCATGGAGAAAAATAAAAAGAAATGTTTAAAAAATTCAGGTATGGCTTACTACTGAGAAAGGAAAATTAGTTTATGCTATACAATTAAAACCTGGTTGTGGAGACAAATGTCGGTTGAAGTGTACACTGAAGATTAATGAGCAGCAAAGATTAGTAATATTCAATAATTTTTGGATATTAGGTGATTTGAATAGACAGCGAGATTTTGTCAAAAATGCTATGAAAGAAGTAAAGCCGAAATATTCGCTACATAATGCTCAGAGTAAAAGATCTATTAATGCGGCTTATCATTTAACAATAGATGGTATAATTAATTATAAGGGTACGTAAAAAGTTCTTTATGCACACTTTGGATATTGGGCACTCATTTATAACGACGTTATGTAAGAAAACAACATCATCGGGTATAGTTTTAGAAGATTTAAGAGGTAAGCATAACAGGAAAGCTAAACTATTACCTGACTTTGTTAAGGATGGAGTCCATGAACACATAAACTCATATCCTACTAAGGAATCGCACTACTGTCGAGCATCATCAAATAAACAATATTTTGATGGTGATTTAAATCTATGTATGATGTACAGGCAATACAAAGAGTGATGTAATAAAGAAGGTAAGCCTGAAGCTAAATAAGGAACGTATGAAAACATTTTTAGAACTGAATTTAATATAGCTTTTCATGTACCAAAGAAGGATCAGTGCTCTCTTTGCTGTTCTTACAATAATGCAACAACAGAACAGAAACAAGAAATGGAAAAGAGTTATAAAGATCATCTTACAGAAAAAGAGCTTTGCAGAGAAGAAAAGAGGATAGATATAGAAACATGCGAAAATGACAAACAAAAGATTATTTGTTGTTATGGCATGCAAGCGGTTCTTCAAATCCAGCGGGTAATGACTCGCTATTTTTTTATAAGACATGCCTTAATGTCTATAATTGTACCGTATATTACATCGTTAATAAATCTGGACATTGTTATTTATGGGACGAAACTTTGGGTGGAAAAGGATGTGACGAGGTAAGATCTTGTATTTTACAGTTTTTCAAAGAATTTTGTCATGGAAAACATGTTATATTTTATACCGAAAACTGCTCAGCACAAATTAGGAATAAGTATTTATTGTCATTATACTATATTATGCCTTAAAAATGTTGGGTGTTAAATCTATAACACATAAATACTTTGTTGTCGGGCACACTCAGAACGAGGGCGATAGCGTTCATGCCACTATTGAAAGAGAAAGATTCCGAATGTTAAAAAATGGTTCCGTGTTCGTGCCATCTCAATGGAGGACAATTATACAATGTGCTAAGAAGAAAGGTAATCCCTACCAAGTTCATGATTTAGATTATTCAGAAATTTTTGATTTAAAAGAACTAATTTCACACTTTCGGAAAATTTTTACAATAAATACAGAAGGAGAGTGAAGTGTGGAATGATATCAAGAAAATATTTATGCAAGCTACTAATCCTTTTGCTATTTATTACTTGGACACTTATCAACCTGATAGTACAATGAAATGCTTCAATGTTCGGCATAAAATGCGGGGCAAGCCTAACAACGAAACATTAGTTTTGACAAATAAATATCGCACTCATCCTGGAATATCAAATCTTAAAAAGAAAGATTTGATTTCATTATGTGATGGTAAAGTAATTCCAAGCGTTTATTGGGATTATTATAAAACATTGCCAGCTTCCTCAGATAGAGCTGACAATGACTAATTGTTCCCTTTTTTATATTTTCTTACTTATAAATAAAAAAATGTTATAAAACTATAAAAGTGTTTTATTAATTATTCTCTAAAAATGCAATTATTTGCTAAGGTTTTCTAGATTTCATTTTTATTTAGGTCATTATTTGAGAAAAATACATAGTTTTTTAATTCAGTACTGGTACATTCAAAAATATTCCATTCCAGAGGGATATTTGCAGTCAATAAATTAATTCAGTAGTGGAACATTTCAAATATTTACTTATACTTAAAAAACAAATAATAAAAAATGAATGAATTTAATAGAAATCATAAATGTAAAGTCTAACCAAAATATAACAACATTAAAAACAATCCTTTTTTTCTCTAAACACTTACTAAATGGAAAAATAAGTATTTCTAATTTTTAATTGCTCAATATCTCACATTTACTCATTTTGAAATGTTCCACTACTGTTTTCGACCGACGATATATATATATATATATATATATATATATATATATATATATATATATATATATATATATCCATACTAATATTATAAATGCGAAAGTGTGTTTGTTTGTTTATTTGTTTGTTTGTCCTTCTTTCACGTCGCAACAGAGCGTCGGCATGGCATTATTTTTTGTATGGGGATAGTTCGGTGGCTGTAGAGTGACATAGGCTACTTTTTATATATGGGAAATATTCTATTTTCCCACGGGAACGAGGTGTTTTTCCGCGGAAAAAAGTAGCCAATGTCACTCTAGAGCCAAAATTAAATTCAGCTAGGTGGCGCCACCGTGATTTTACAGGACGGACGACGGTACGATGGACGAACACAGAAGGCCAGAATATCTGGATTATTATGTCTTTTTCCCAAAATTAAGATAAAAAATTTATGGATCTGTATTTTTCCACGCAGGACCGGGAAGAGAGCGATAAAAAACATAAAATTCACTAGCTGATTTTCTTCAAACGTTTTGGTGCATTGTAATTCACAGAATAGGCGATAACCTCGCAGACGATATTAAGTAATCAGTTGATGCTCTGACTACCCCGCAAGGGTTACAGGCGTGATTATAAGTATGGATCAGAAATAGTATCAACACCTGTTACGCTTTCACCCTTAACTATTACTCAACTGTGGTAGAAACAGTTCTTAGTAATCCTTATTAATAAGCCTTAGTAATATTTATTGAACGGAAATGAATACAGTTCTTATTATGTGGTTATGAATGAATCGGTATTACAATAAGAAAAATTGTGCAAAATTACAAGAACAATATTTTTGAGAGTTCTTATTAACTAACGTATACATAGTTAAAATTGATTCCGCTAGATGTCGTTACTAGGTTTTTAAAACGCGGTAACGAAATGTTATTAACACGTACACATGTACTTAACTCCCGCCGTTGAGCCGCGCGTCAACTTATAGTGCATACGGTACCTATACGCTTAAATTGTTTCTATTTCGTAGCTTATTCGACTACCTGCTTTCGATTTCGGTTGTTTGTTATTTGCTTTGTGATTTGGTTAAGGTTGAATGGATTTATATTGGCTTTCATTTTTGGATTTGTGTATTTTCTTGGATCAATTTTGTTGATTTGGTTGGTATTCCTTTATACATATTTAGACTCTGGCTTTGATTTTGGATTTTGTTTATTTAGAATCGTGAATTGGTTTTCGAAGTTTTAGGTTGTTTAACAATATTTCAAAGGAATATTAATATTATAGATAGTGTATACGGTACCTATACACTAGCTTCTTTTTTCGTTGGTTATATTTATATTGACTACTGCTTTCGATTTCGGTTTTCTGCGATTTGGTTTAAGATGATTTGATTTTTTTTTGGCTATCGTTTTCGGATTAGTGTTGTGTCTTGAATTGGTTTTGTTTTTTTGATTTTAAAAAATATTTAAAAGGAATATTTATTCCTTTTAGATATTTTGGATTTGCTTTTAAAAAAATATTTAAAAGGAAATTTAATTCCTTTTATTTATTTTAACGTTTTTTTTATAAATAGGTTTTTTGTTACTTCATAATGCCTCGCCAACGTAAGTCCAGCCTTTCATGAGTATCTTCTCAAAAACAAGCGAAAAGATTAGCTCGATCGCTAGAATCTTTAGAAGATGCTGAACTGAGATGCAAATTCACAGCTCCAAGCTGAACATTTACAAAATTTTCAAAGAAACAATTGGTTGCTTTTGATGACGCAGCATTCAATTATAATCCGTTGATTGATTATAAAAATCACAGGTTAGTTGTTATCGGACTGATGGACAAGGCGTGTCAATTTGGCAGCGCTTTAAAATGGAAAGATGAGACCGCCGGCATGTGCTGTTCCAATGGCAAAGTGTCTCTTCCGTTACTTGGGGAACCAGAAGAACCTTTGAAAACTCTCTTTTTATATGATACTAATGAGTCACGGCGCTTTTTAAACAGGATCCGGAAATATAACTCATGCTTTCAAATGACGTCCTTCGGAGTTGACCAGGAAATAAAAATGCCGGGATTTTCGCCTACATTTACGGTGAAAGGGCAAATTTATCATAGAATAGGTTCACTTTTTCCAGCTAAAAACGAACAACATAAATTTTTACAAGTATATTTTATGGGTGTCGAAGAAATTGAGGTAGACCGTCGCTGCCAATTTATCCAGGGAGTTGAGAGAGACACAGTGTTCAAAATTCAAAGATTTTTGCATGAACGTAACATTTTAGTCAAAACATTTAAAACTGCTTTAGAAAACCTACCTGAAGAGGATTATAAAGTCGTCATTCACGCAGATCGGAACCCTCTCAGAGAGCATGAAAGGAGCTACAATGCACCTTTGATTAACGAAATAGCAGCCGTAATTAGTGGTGATCAATTTTCTTCACGAGACATTGTCTGGCGAGCACGAGATGATACTTTGCAACGGGTAGCCGATACACACAAGTTTTATGACGCTCTGCAATACCCATTGATTTATTGCAAAGGGCAAGAGGGTTATCATTTTCAAATTCCACTCATTAACCCGGTCACAAAGTAGCCTAATCCGAACAAAAAAGCATTATGTATGGATTTTTATGCGTATTATATGATGTTGCGAGAAAATGATTTTAACCTCTTAGCCCGGTGTAGACAATTATTTCATAAATTTTTGGTAGACTTGTATGTGAAGGTAGAAAGTGAACGTCTCCGTTATATATCTTTAAATCAAAAAATCTGCACGTTTAGAATTATATACATTTACAAGATGCAGTTTCTAGCGACGCCAATGTAAACCTAAGAGATTTAAGTAAAATGGTAATTCTGTCATAATTCGTTAACAG